AAAAAAAAAAAAAAATGTCGACCATAGAGAACAAAACTAGCCCAGTGGGGTGGCTGGTGGTTGGTCGTGTACACGTTACAAAAATCCTGTGCGGGAGAGTAGTAAGGTCGAACTTCGTTCTTGCCCGAGTCCTACACAGGTAGTAACCTTGACATAACATGGCAAAAAATTTTCTACACGAAAAATTCGGTCATAGAAATCTTGTAGGAAGAGCCAAAAGAGTTTTAAATAAATGAATCCCCCATCGTAGGGATCATTTAGATCAAGTTTTTTTGTGGAGATCGAGGTTTAAAAGACGATGAAATCGTGGTTTAAAGTGAGCTATTTGTTCAAATATGGCGACTGAAGTTTCCTCCCTTGTCAGAGTATATATACATAAGATCAACATCAGATACCATAAAGAAATAATATAGGAAAACAAAGGCGCGCGCGAAAAAATTTTTTAAAAAATTTTGCTCTTTCGCATTCAAAGGACATTATCTTGGTCTCGAATATAAATTATTTAATTTTTTCGATTCTATTTTCACCATTCACTTTAATCTAAAATGGGCTCCCYGTGGTTTACACTAGTTCTGATGCTACAAATCCAACCTTACCTTCCACGCCATTCGACAGGAAAACCGAGGCCAGGCACAATACCAACATCAACAGAATTTTCTTGGCCATTCTTTAAGCTTCTTTACTGCAAAGCGGTCCTGAAAATTTCAATTGTTTTGCAGAAATTAATTAGTAGCGGAGCACCATGCTTAAGAAAATATTGTAAACCATCGAGTTGATTTTTCATGGCTTGGCTGACGTTACTTCCGTCGGTTCGTCCGTCCGTCCGTGTACACATCACAGGAATCCCGCTTCACGTCAAAGTAAAACTTCTCACAAATGCGGCTCTCAAATGTACCGAAAAAAATCGCTTTAGGACAAGTCATAGATTAAATTAAAACAGTTAAAAAAAACTTTCATTTAGTCAAAGAAGGATCAAGAAGTATTCTTCAAGAATTCAGGTGTGTATGTGTTTTTAGCAAACAATCGTGTACATTTTTTTTTTCTTTTGACAAGCATTTTTCTCGACGAATTGACAAATCAAAGACTTTCTCTAAAAACTTTTTAAATATTTCTATAGATAAGCTTAATTTATTTTAATGCTGGAGGAAATATAACACGGAGAGCATATTACGACAAATATTCCTCTTTTATTTAGGTTTGTATATCTTTAAGAATTTGGTCGTTTTTAACCAACTATCGTATGTTTTTCCTTCAAGAAAAGCTTTGTTCACCTCCTATCGCGGGGTCCCATCGGCAAAACAAAGAAGATTTTCGTTTAGTAATGAATGTTATATCAAATATTCAACTGTTTTTACGCTGTTCGAACTTATATGATTACACGAATGAGCTTAAATTTGTGTTGTTGAGAGATGTTATTGCATAAAGACCTAGAATTTAAATTTAAAAAGCTAAGAAATAATCAAAAACATTTACAAATGCCAATTTACTGACAAAGAATTTCGGCGTCATTTTGTATTTTTCTCAGCGAATCGACAAATCAAAGGACTTTCTCTCAAAATTGTGATGTTTCAATAGATAAGCTCAATTTATTTTAATGCTGGATGAAATCAGATAACACGAAGAGCATATTACAAAAAYATTTGTCCTTTACTTAACTTTGTAAATCTTTAACGATTCGGTTGTTTTTAAACATTATCGCATGTTTTTCAGTCGTTCAAGATAAATGCAGCTTTGTTTGTCTCCTATGGCGGGGTCCCATCGGCAAAACAAAGAAAACTTTCATTCAATAATATTATATCTTTCTACAGATAATTTATTTAAATATCGAATAAATATGAAATTACACCAGATATTCAACTATTTATCAAGCTGTTCGAGCTAGTATGATTATAAAAATGAGCTTAATTTTGTGTTGTTGAAAGATGTTATTGTATAAAGGCCTACTAGACCTTCACTCTAAAAAGCTAAAAAATATTCAAAAACATTTACAAACGCCAATTTACTGCTAAAGAAATGAGTCATTTTGTATTTTTCATTGCCTTTTGYATTATTTTTTATTTTGTCTCAGTTGTTCTTGTCAACTGTTTAAATGAAAGTAAGCTCTGTTTTTGGAAAACTGTAATAAATAATAATATGCTAATAAATTTGTGTTGTTGAGATATGTTATTGCATAAAGACCTTGTCTTTCACTTTAAAAAGCTAAAACAAATATTCAAAAACATTTACAAATGCCAATTTACTGAAAAGAAATTCATTTTGCATTGCATTTTGCATTATTTTCTATTTTGTCTCAGATGTTTTTTAACAAGTTTAACTGAATGCATGTAAACTTTGTTTTTCGAAAACTTTTCGGTCGTTCGTGATTTCCGTATCTTTCTCGCGCATGAAAACAGATGAAAACTGGTAAAATCAAATCTCAAAATCTTTACAGCTTAAGTTACCAAACTTATCGAAAAGTAGTTAAGGAATAAAAACATTTAAAAGAAGAATTAGGATTAGAAAACTATATTTTAACTGATGGCACATTTGGTGACAGTTATGATCTGCCAGCCAATTTCCTACAAAATCATTTTTTTCTTAATTTCATTGCGGTAAAAACAGGTTCTTATAAAAACCTAAACTCTTAATATTCATAACCTAACATTGTCATGTAAAAGAAGTAAAAGTACTGAGCTTTTGTTTTGCTCACCTTTTCTTGGGCAGTTTTCTAGTCTGTCTTTATATGCTGTGTTCATTTGTCGGGACATTTGTCCATAAAAAGTTAGGAAATCTTCGAAATTTCGATTTCAATGAAAGACATCCAAGGTAAATTTCAATAAACCTGATATTGTGTTAGATTGTCTGTAGTTATCTTTCGTTTTTAAAGTAAAATTAACCAGGAATTCAAAGCTTAAAAATGTTGGCCATGCAAATACTTTGTCGAAGAATCTTCCACGAACAAAACTAGACCCTTGGAGAGGTGGTGAGTTGTATATAATATTCCTTAGTGGGAGAGTATACTCGCGCAAAGAAAAGAATGTAGTGCACTTCGATTCGATTTCACTGCATGGCTTTTAGTATTGGACTCAGTATCTTCATCTCGAATATAAAATAATTGACGACTTTTTTCCCGATCTAATTTTTACCTTGGCTGCAACACATCCGGAAATTTCTTCGTAAATACCGTATTTACGAAGAACGAAAATTCCGGGGATGCGACGCAGGCTAATTTTTACCTTTCTGATTCATTCAAATTGAGCTAGCTGTAAATTTCGTATCGGGAGCTCCGCTTTTAGGAAGTGTCTAAATATATATCTTAAAACTAAATAATGTGATACGCAGACCACCATCTGTCTCGTACCAAATGCCGAATAGGGTTTTTTCTGGGTTCGAACCCCGCCTCAGACTGGATAATGTGTAAGTTGAGTTTGATTGACGTGAGTATTTTCACACCTGCCACAAGGGTTGGTCTCCGATTTTCCTTCCACCTTCTCATACTCATTAATTATTCATGAGGTAACTAGCCAATCGATTACCTCGTACCTGGTCACATGATGTATCTTGAAACTAGGTCAAGTGTCTTAAAGCCGGGGAGGGTTTTGATATCAGCAGGGAAGAGGTGGGGCTGATGAATTGGAACAAAAGAAATTAATTCAGTCGACCAACAACTGGATCAAAATTATTCAGTCCAAGGACTGGAACAAAATTAATTCAGTTCAAGCATTGAATCAAGTCAATATATAGAAAGATGAAAACAGAAAATTTAATTCATCAAGCATTTATTTCAGAAGTTATTACCAATAAACTATAATCAATAATAGTTGCAAATATACTCAACACTTCGT